GGGCAGCCTCTGCTCAGCCGGGGACATGATATGCAGCCACTAGGAGCTATGCCCTGGATTTTGATTTAGCATTGCGGGGACCTCTGCTTGTGTGGGGTAGACACATCTTTATTATTAATCTCTTCTGTACACTTGTACCTTATCTATTTACCTTTGTTTACTGTATAAGATTCTTAAATAAAGATTTGCAAAAAAAAAGTCCATGTATCCCATCCATTTTTTATCTATGGATGGGTCATATGCCTTCACAGCAATGTGAATTGCATTCTCACAGCTGATACACAGAGGATAATTTAATAAAAATTAGATCCATAATAATTGACCCAAGTGGTGAATAATGATGCTGGACCATCAGTGGAAGGCCTTCTCTTCAGAAACACGTTTATCAAATATTTGGTAAATAGGTATATATATTTTCATAATTTGATAAAGCCCAATATTCCCTTAAGAAGATTTTCAATCCCTAAATTTTTTTGGCAGAGTTGGGTAAGACAAGGGACACTTTCTCAACTGTCACAAATGAAACAAACTTACAAAATATATAGTCATGGCACAGAGAGAATTCTAATAACAGAACAGAGAGGTAAATATTGCCCATTTTTTCCAGCCATGAGGCATATACTAAAGGAAGCCCGAGGGGATTTTGATAGACTCGTACGTTAACAGGTAAGTGCTCATACTTTGCTTTATTCCCACAGAATAGTCAGTGCAGAACTCACCATTTTGCCATTCTTAGTCCTCTGATTACCTCAGAATTACAAAATGGTGTCCTCAGTCAGTGCTAGCGCTTCCCAGTAGACCACTATACATTGGTAGCTTCACCAAACAGTGACGAGGCCCTTACTTCCTCTCCCTTTCACTGATTTAAAAATCTCAATAAAGTTTTAATTGGAAGAAAAAATGCTCAAGCAGGGCTCCCTCTGTCATCACACTGATGTTCTGTGAATTTAAGCCACTGTCCAAAATGTCACTTAGGGTGCCATGAATTGTGACTGCAGGTGGTTTATTGATAGCTTAATCCCTTAAAGGACCACTCTAGGCACCCAGACCACTTCAGCTTAATGAAGTGGTCTGGGTGCCAGGTCCTTCTAGGGTTAACCCATTTTTTCATAATTATAGCAGTTTCAGAGAAACTGCTATAATTATGAATGGGTTAAGCCTTCCCCCTAATCCTCTAGTGGCTGTCTCATTGACAGCCACTAGAGGCGCTTGCGTGCTTCTCACTGTGATTTTCACAGTGAGAGCACGCCAGCGTCCATAGGAAAGCATTGAGAATGCTTTCCTATGTGACCGGCTGAATCTTGTGCAGCTCTTGCGCGTGTGCGCATTCAGCGGTAACGGAGGAGGAGGATCGGAGGAGGCTCCCGCCCAGTGCTGGAAAAAGGTAAGTTTTTACCCCTTTCCCCCTTCCAGAGCCGGGCGGGAGGGTCCCTGAGGGTGGGGGCACCCTCAGGGCACTATAGTGCCAGGAAAACGAGTATGTTTTCCTGGCACTATAGTGGTCCTTTAAGGACGAGCCAAATTTACACGTTGTGAACGAAACAAAATGTAAACAAAACCTGGCATTTGCGCTACATGTCTGTCCAACCGTAATTCACCTCTTTCATAGCACCCACCCTTATTATATATCATTTTATTCAGGGGAAACAGGGCTTTCATTTAATATCAAATATTTAGCTATGAAACATAATTTAATATGAAAAAAATGGGAGAAAATAAGATTTTTTTTTAATTTTTTTGGTTCTACATGACATTTTAACTGTCAATGTCATAATACTGTTTGCTTTTACTGCAATAAAATACACATATTTGTATTGAGCGATGTCTCACGTGTAAAACAGTACTCCATATGTACAGGTTTTATAGCGTTTTGGGAAGTTGCAGGGTCAAATATAGCACGTTACATTAGAAATTGAAATTCGCCAGATTGGTTACGTTGCCTTTGGGACTTTATAGTAGCCAGGAATGAAATTTACACCCATAATGGCATACCATTTGCAATAGTAGACAACCCAAGGTATTGCAAATGGGGTATGTCCAGTCTTTTGTAGTAGCCATTTGGTCACAAACACTGGCCAAAGTTAGCGTTAGTATTTGTTTGTGTGTGAAAAATGCAAAAATCGCCAATTTTGGCCAGTGTTTGTGACTAAGTGGCTACTAAAAAAGACTGGACATACCCTGTTTGCAATACCTTGGGTTGTCTACTATTGCAAATGGTATGCCATCATAGGGGTAATTTTAATTCTTGGGCTACCATAGGGTCTCAAAGGCAACGTACCCAATCTGGCAAATTTTAATGTGAAAAAAATGAAACACAAGCCTTATATTTGACGCTGTAACTTTTGAAAACACCATAAAACCTGTACATGAGGGGTACTGTTGTACTCAGGAGACTTCGCTGAACACAAATATTTGTGTTTCAAAACAGTAAAAAGTATCGCAGCAATAATATCGTCCGTGTAAGTGCTGTTTGTGCATGAAAAATGCAAAAAACTTCACTTTTACTGGCAATATCATCGTTGTAATACATTTTACTGTTATGAAACACTAATATTTGTGTTCAGCGAAGTCCCCCCAGTAGAACAATACCCTCCATGTACAGGTTTTATGGTGTCTTGGAAAGTTATAGGGTTAAATATAGTGCTAGCAAATTAACTTCCCTTTACTTTCGGCATTGGGTTGTCAGGCAGGTCCCGCTAATTGTAATTAAATAAGATACCCAATTATGTAAAAATATTACATAAATATATATGTAGAATTAATATATGTATATATACGTATGTGAATATATATATATATATATATAATTTTTTAAAAATATTTTTATTTATATATAGGTATATATATATAGTGATATATACGTATATATTTATGTATATAGATATATATATTATTTTGTTCTACATGTATTTTGATATAAATATATATATATTAATATCACAATACAGTTAGAATGAAATAACACACATCTATATATTTTTTAATTATTATTTTTTTATAATTTTTTTATTTTATTTTTTAACGTATTTACATATTTAAATTTTTATATTATATATAAATATACATATAACAATAATTATATATATATTTAATCAGTATCAGTCTACGTGTAATTTGATATTAATATATATATATATTATTATATATATATTAATAATAAAATACACCTATACAGTGTACGTGTGTGTATGTATATGTGTATATATATACTTAGATCATATATATATATATAATATATATATGATCTTAGTATATATTATTTTTTTTTTACACTAATTAACTTTTATTTATTTTATTTCCAGCCAGCAGGGGGACTACCTGTAATTACAGGCAGTCCCCCTGCTGGCAATACAGCAGCCAGCTATCCCGGCCATGTGATTGTGAGGTCCTTGCAAGGACCTCACTCTCACATGGCCGGGGGGGACCGGAGGAGGAAGATCTGCCGCGGGGGGGGGGGCTCCCTGGGAGTCCCCCCTAACAGTGATCGCCGCGACTGGGTAAGTAAAGAATGACCGGAGGGCGTACTATTACGCCCGGCGGCATTTAGAGCCGCCTAAAATAGGGTGTAATAGTACGCCCTCCGGTCTTAAGGGGTTAAAGGAACACTATAGTCACCTAAATTACTTTAGCTAAATAAAGCAGTTTTAGTGTATAGATCATTCCCCTGCAATTTCACTGCTCAATTCACTGTCATTTAGGAGTTAAATCACTTTGTTTCTGTTTCTGCAGCCCTAGCCACACCTCCCCTGGCTATGATTGACAGAGCCTGCATGAAAAAAAACTGGTTTCACTTTCAAACAGATGTAATTTACCTTAAATAATTGTATCTCAAACTCTAAATTGAACTTTAATCACATACAGGAGGCTCTTGCAGGGTCTAGCAAGCTATTAACATAGCAGGGGATAAGAAAATCTTAATTAAACAGAACTTGCAATAAAGAAAGCCTAAATAGGGCTCTCTTTACAGGAAGTGTTTATGGAAGGCTGTGCAAGTCACATGCAGGGAGGTGTGACTAGGGTTCATAAACAAAGGGATTTAACTCCTAAATGGCAGAGGATTGAGCAGTGAGGCTGCAGGGGCATGTTCTATACACCAAAACTGCTTCATTAAGCTAAAGTTGTTCAAAGTTGTTCAGGTGACTAGTGTCCCTTTAACCCAATGTTATGCTCATTCGACAGCCATTTTTGTCCATGTCTCTATGCTTACTGTCCAGACTCCCTCACAATCAATATGGTAACCAATAGAATGTCTCTCAACATGTGCTCAGCAGGGGTTAATTCAGACTGACACATAATAACAGCAAGTAATACATAACATAATACAGCACAGAAACATAATAATAAAACCACAGACTCAGATGTGTGCCGAAAAGGCCATGGTCTTTTATTTAGTTTACAAATTATACAAACATAATTTAACCAAACATCTCCGGTCTTTAACCCCTTAAGTACCGGACTGTTTTTGCGATGTTGTACATTTGCGACCAGGCATCTTTTAACACTTTTGTGGTGTTTGTGTTTAGCTGTAATTTTCCGCTCTCTCATTTACTGTTCCCATACAAATTATATATTGTTTTTTTTCAGGACAAAAGGGACTTTCTTTACATACCATTATTTATATAATCTAATTTTTAAAAAAATGAAAAAATATGATGAACAATTGAAAAAAAAAAAAAATTTTTAATTTTACTTGAAAAATCTTTTACTCATCTACAAAAGCGAATGAAAAAAACTGCTAAATAGATTCAAAATTTTGTCCTGAGTTTAAAAATACCCAGTGTTTACGTGCTTTTTTTGCAATTTTTTTGCATGTTATAGGGCTATAGGTACAAGTAGGATATTGCGGTTTCAAAACATACATTTTTAAAATTTATCAATAGTGACATTGTAACACTATTATCTGTCATAAATCTCTGAATAACACCCCACATGTACATATTTTTTTTTTTTAATTCTTTATTTTTGACAGTGCAGCCGGGAGTATACAGATTGCAGCGGTTTAAACATATACATTTCCATAATAGACAATTGGCAAGCAGAGATGGTTATATGTGCTGCACTGTTATTTTTGGGTTAAAGACGTCGTATACATAGAGTACATCATTTATAGGGTATTCCCAGCCCATATGGTGCCCTCTGTCCGCTATTGTCATGTACGGTGTGTGGCTAATCAGAAGGGTTGGCCAGAAGGCGTCCCATATGTCGGCTAGTCTTGTAGGTAAGTATATGTTAGGCAGGTGAGTCGAGTCGAGGGTAAGAAAAGTGTGGTGAGTGAAGTAAGGCAATTTATGAGTGGATACATCTAGTGTTGTCCCCAGGGTGTGTATGTGCTGTTGCGTCGTTGGGTCTCAAGTATCCCTGTTTGGGGTTACCTCTCCGGGATCGGTTGTAAGTCTCGGGCTGCATTCTCTAGGGTGTTGAAGCCCGGAGGGGGGGGGGAGGGAGGGAAGAAAAGGCTCGTCCGTGTTCGTGTATTCTCAGGTCAGAGGGAGTATCCCTGTAGCATATATTAAACAGTCAACCAGTGAAAAAAAAAATAACAAAAGAAAACAAAAGCGTTGACTTAGGAGAAGAAAAAAAAAAAAAAAAAACTTAAGCATTTTGGGAACAGAGAGAAAGTTCAAACCAGTATTAAGGGTTATAAGTCCGAGTGGTCATCAGTGGTGGTTAGGAGGAGCCCAGCCAGTGAGCTGAGAGTGGCTGCTCATAGAGTAATCAGGTCAGTCTCTCTTGACCTAGGCGTCGCCCCGTTCGGGGGGTGAATTCTTTGATGGCAGAGGGGTCTATGTGTGCTAGTCCTGAGCCGGCCTCTCTCTGCGGTCCCATGATGCCGATCTTATGTAGGTGAGCTTCAAGTTCCTCGTAGGTCCGGGCCCTGTGAACAGCATTCATGTGAGTGAATAGAATCTGCTTAGGGATTCCCCAGCGGTACTGGATCTCTTGCGCTTGAAGGATGTTCAGCAGCGGTCTCAGTGACCTTCGCCATGCGATGGTGTTGCGGGTAAGATCCTGGAACAGCGTTAGGGATGAGCCTTCGAAGTGCATTGGGGTCTTCCCCCTTGTGGCTGTGAGCAGCAGGGCCCTATCCGACATTGATTGAAATCGTATGATAAGGTCTGCGGAGGCAGTCATGGGCGCTGTAGGCGGTTTTGGTAGGCGAAATAGGCCGTCTAGTTTCACCGCTTTGGCCTGTTTGGGTGGCAGCAGCGTGGTGAGCAGTCGGCGGACATAGTGAGGTAAGTCAGTTAGACTTATCGAGTCCGGGATGCCGCGGATTTTGAGGTTGTAGCGCCTTTTCTGGTCCTCCATGGCGTCCACCCTGTCGGTGGTTGTCAGCTGTTGCTTTTGCAGTTCTGCAATCTGGTTTTCCACCACGGTTAGCCTGGAGTCCTGGGTACTAGTTGTGGCCTCTAGGAGAGTGATCCGGGAGGTGGCGCTTTCAATGGCCGTTTTGAAGTAGGCCATATCTGCTGCTATATTCGTCCTAAGCTCAGCCAGCATGTCTTTCAGCTGGGCTGCTGTTACGGGTTCAGCCAGGGCTGGATGTTTGGCTGCGGGTCTCATGGGCATATCGAGTGGTATCTCCTCTCCGATGTCGAGCGGGTTGGCTTCTGAGGAGTACGAGGAGTCATCCCCTTCCAGCGCCATTTTGTCCCATGCCGCCCTTTGGGCGCCCCTCAGGAGTTCACCGATATCTCGGCTTGTCGAGGTCCGATCGCTCTTGGGTTTTTTGCTTTTCCGACCCATTTTCTTTAACTCCCCCTCTGGTGTTGGGGTTAGGCTTTGGAGGTGTCCGTTCACGGTATATATTGCCGTTTAAGCGAGCCAGGCTCGGAGCTCGGGGAAAACGTGTCCTCTCTGTTCCACAGTTGGCTCCGCCCCGTACATATTTTTTTTAAAGTAGACAACCCAGGGTATTCAATATGGGGTATGTCCAGATGTTTTTAGTAGCCACTTAGTCGCAAACACTGGCCAAAGTTAGCGTTCATATTTGTTTGTGTGTGAAAAAAGTAAAAAAACTAAATTGAACGCTAATTTTGGCCAGTGTTTGTGACCAAGTGGTTACTAAAAGACTGGACATACCCCATTTGCAATACCTTGGGTTGTCTTCTTTGCAAATGGTATGCCATCATGGGGGTAATTCTCATTCCTGGGCTACCATATGCTCTCAAAGGCAACGTAACCAACCTGGCCATTTTCAATGTAAAAATATTTGACCCATATATTTGACCCTGTAACTTTCAAAAACGCTATAAAACCTGTACATGGGTGGTACTGTTATACTCGGGAGACTTTGCTGAACACAAATATTTGTTTCAAAACTGGAAAATGTATCACAACAATTATATCATCAGTAAAAGTGCTGTTTGTGTGTGAAAAATGCAAAAAAAGTCACTTTCACTGACAATATCATCGCTGTGATATGTATTACAGGGTAAAATGCAGTGCTAGCAAATTAAATTCTCTGGACTTTTGGCCTGGGTTGGCAGGCAGGTCCCTCAAATTGCTATCAATAAAATTACTTAATTATGTAAAAATATTACATAAATACGCACATAGAATTTAAATATAGAAGCATATTTATATATTTGAAGTCTACGTGTATATTTATATAATTATTTATGTAATTTTGTATATGGACATATGTATATTTCGTATTATTTTTATTTATTTATATATACATAGATATATATACAATTTCATTCTAAGTGTATTTTGATATAAATATATATATATTAATATCAAAATACAGTTAGAATAAAATTTCATATAGATATATAATTATTTATATTTTATAATAATATATATATATATATACAATATATTTAGTTATTATATATATTATATATATATACGTGTATAATTTAATTATAAGTGTATTTTTATATTAATATATGTACATATTAATATAAAAATACACTTAGTGTGACATTTTTTTATTATAAACATTAACTTTTATTTTTATTTTACACTAGCAGGGAGACTGCCTGTCAGCACAGGCAGTCCCCCTGCAGGCAGACTCATGGACACCTATTGTGACCATGTGACCGCTCTGTTAAGCGATCACATGGCCCCAGGGGTCCTAATCCGCCGTGGGGAGACTGTCTGGGCTGCAGGCAGTCTCCCCACACCGGGAGCACCGCCGATCCCGCCGGGGGAACGACGGCGATCGGGTAAGTACATCTGACCGTTAGGACGGTTCAGGACCGTTAGGACGGTTCAGGACCGTCAGCGGTCTGCAATGCAAAAATGCCGATGACGGTCCTGAACCGTCCTTGGTCCTTAAGGGGTTAAACCCCCAGAGATTTAAGACATAACTCACCAGAGTTCCGCCCTATTAGCCAGAACTTAAACCAAATGATAACGAAACTCAGCTAGTCCACCCCCACCCCCTTTAAATTAGGCAGGTGACCTCAACCCCAATAAATCACAACAATTGAATATAGGGCGGGGGGGGCGGGGAAAAACAGCTCCACAGTTGATTATTTCTTCTTTTTTCTTGGCGCCAAATATCAACTCAGGGCACCTTATATACCGTTTTTTCCCCGCTCCAGAGTACCCTCGCGGACAAGCGCTCCAATCAGAGCACTGTCCACGCGGACACCTGTATGGACAGTTCACGAGGGCATTGCAACAGCCATTGTTGAATGCCCTCGCAACTAAGGCTATGCGCGCCACAACTATGACCCCTGAAAAACTCCGCAAAGCACATGTGTACCTAGTCGATTGACTAGGTACATTCTCTTTGCACCCAAAATAGCACCTGTTTTGTCTTGCTAAATCCCAATTTTTGATCTACATTTTGCATATCCCTTGTTAATTCTCTACAACTCTCGGTTCAGTGAATAAACCCTACATTCTCTAAGAAGGGACTTAATGTAATAGCGATAGTTTTCTGTGGGCTAGTTCTCAAAGCTGAGGTTTAGTTCACATTCCCTCCCATCCTGCCTTTTTTCCCCAAAGATGAGTGTACTATAGAAATATTTGCCATTTTCGCAGACCTTCCAACTGTTCCAATTTAGTCAGGACAGTCAATATTCTAGGGTCCTGTTTTGCCATCACCACACCAGGGATGATGGTGGTATGTTTTAATAATTCCTTAAAGGACCGCTACACAGCTATAATGCACTTTAGCTTGTCTTGAGAAATACACACTTTTATAAAACAATTAAGTAACATCTCCCTGGCTGTCAATCAGCAGTGGTAGAGTGCGCCTGACACTGACTCCTCCAGTCATAGTGAACCTGCGAGGGCTCAATATACCTGATGCTCAGTATACCTTTGGTCCCTGAGTCACCGGCTGCTACAGTTCCTCTGTCTCACTTCTGGCCTCTTCATCTGGCTCTCCTCAATCACCACGCACTGTGATGTCTGAGAATCAGAGGCTTCTCCATGAGCTGGGGAAATAAGGGGAGGGCTTGCAAAGGCCGTGGGCATAACATCTGCAGCTTTTTCAAGCTCTTTTTAGATACAACCCCAGGGACCCTTTAATATTAGGGCAGCACTAGGACATACATACCCTCGCCTACCTGAGATTTACTTGAGTTACAATACCTGACAGCAGATGCTATTGTCATCTGTTACTTTTATTTCAGCTCCTCTCCCCATAATGATATGTTGGAAGAGGAACTGGGGAGACAGGATTTAGCTGTGTCTGTCTCCTCTACTCCACTCCTGCAGTATTATTATAGAAGACGACTGAATTAAAATGGTGGAAGCTGTTGCCTAAAGCGTAACTCTTTATAATCCCGGGCAGATCGGAACATGTATGTCCTGGTATTAACCTGTTATTAGGGGGGTCCGTGTGACGCATGGTATTAGTCAAACCTTGCTCAATAAAGAATATATGAATGACGGAATATTATATATATATATATTTATACACACACACACACATATATATTTATTTATTTATATATATAAATATATATATATATTTATTTTTTATTGTAATTTTTTACATTTTTGGGGGGTTTATTATTTAATTATTTCCTTCTTTTAAAAACATCCCCATAAAAAAGAAAAATTGCATAATTGGTACTTGTATTTTCTCAAACTATATTTTAAATAATGACAATACAATAAATAAAGATAATACTAGTAATAATTTGTTGCCAAGATCACTCACAAACAAACCTAATGACACATTATCATGCTAGAAAGCCCTTGTATTGTGTCTGTAGTAATTCACACTGTATCTTTGTGTGTGTGTGTGTTTTTTTTTTAAGCTAGTATGTGCAATCTCTGGTGGATGGCTCCTCTCCCCAGTCTCTGTGTAGTTTCTAGTCTGTCTCTGTTTCCCAGTGAGAATGTATTTGGTGGTGGTGGTGAAGTAGTGTAATTTTAGCCTGTCTCAGCCCCCTCCCACCCTCCTCCTCCACCTCCTTCCCCCTGGCTCT